TTCACACATGTCACCATAGTGTATATAGAAAACTCTCTAGGCTCCACGAGATAATTACTGGATCTAATAAGTGAATGTAGCAAGGTAGCAGGATACAAAATCAATATTCAGAAATTGACAGCATTTTGCATACCAACAATGAACCAAGGGGTGGGGGGAGAAACTAAGAAAACTATTTACGCTTACTACAGCAAAAACAAAATAAAAAGTACCCAGGAATTAATGTAACCAAGGAGGTAAAAGACCTATAGCAGAAAACTATAGGACATGAAGAAAGAAACTGAGGAAGATACAAGTAAGTGTAAGCATAAAATGTGTTCATGGATTGGAAGAATTAACATCATTAAAATATCCATACTACCCACAGCAATCTATAGATTCAATGCAATTCTTATTAAGATACCAATGGTGCATTGCACATATTTAGAACCAATACTCCAAAAATATATATGGAACCAAATAATAGACCCTAAATAGCTTCAGCAATCTTGAGAAAGAAGAACAAAGTAGGAGGGATCACAATACCTGATACAAAACTATACTACAAGGCTACTGTAATCAAAACAGTCTGGTACTGGCATAAAAACAGATACACAGATCAATACAACAGAATAGAGGACCCAGAAATAAAACCATGTCTTTATAGTCAATTAATATTTGACAAAGGGGGCACAAACCTACAGTGGCATAAAGAGAGTCTCTTCAATAAATGGTGTTGGGAGAACTGGACAAGTACTTGCAAAAAAAATGAAAGTAGATTATCATCTTACACCATACACTGGAGTAAACTCAAAATGGATAAAATACTTAAATGTATTTTAAGTAAACCAGGATACCATAAAAACCCCAGTGGAAAACATAGGCAGTAAAATTGCAGGTATCTCATGTAGGAATATTTTGCTGATATATCACCTAGGGCAAGGGGGATAGAGAAAAATAAACAAGTGGGACTACATCAAATTAAAAAGCTTCTGCATGTCTAAAGAAACCATCTTCAAAATGAAAAGGGAGCCGACTGGATGGGAGAACATGTTTGCCAATGATACATTGGGCAAGGTTTTAATCTCCAAAATATCTAAAACACTCATACAGCTCAACACCAAGAAAACAAACAATCCAATTAAGAAATGGGCAAAGGACATGAATATAGACACTTCTTCAAGGAGGACATATAGATGACCCAGAGACATATGAAGAAGTGCTCAACATCAGTAGCCATCAAAGAGAGGCAAATTAAAACCACAATGAGATATCACCTCACACCTGCCAAAGTGGCCATCATTAATTGTTGTGGACCCCAGCCTGCATGGTCTGTGTGTTGTGGCTGCAATGAACAAATTCACATGGACTACAGAAGCCCTGTGGAGAAAAAGGGATGGCATGGCTGCTCTCTAAGAGAGAGAGAGGGCCCCAACCCCTGCCTGGACAGGATTTTATTGCTTTTCTGGGTACATTGTGTTGAGAATGGTCCTCATTTTATGCACAGGTTCACTGAAGGTGATTACCTTTTACAGGTAACAAAGGAAAGAATGTTGCTGATTATTTCAAAGAGAAGGATGTTACAGATCAAGGGAAAAAGTAGTTGAACTGGTTACACTTCATACTTGGAAGATTTAGCACAGACTTTAGGAAGTTACTTTAAAGATGTGCAGTAAACATTTTCTGCCTCAATCCAAGGTGAGGGAGTTTTAGCAAAAGCAAGTCTCATAGCAGCCTAGGTACAATGCAGGCCTGATCCCCCATGGGAGAACCTATCCATGGGTGTGAGTCCTGTGTGCCAACCTTGCTCCCCACTGGCCTTTCTTAGTGGGGGCTGGGCTACATTTTCCATGCCATTTGGAACAGTTACCTATAATTAATAAATCATCATCATCAACAACAACAACAACAACAACAACAACAACAAGAAACCATACCACATGCTGGTAAAGATTTAGAAGAAAGTTAATCCTAGTGCACTATTAGGAATGCAGACTGGTGCAACCACTATGGAAAATAGCATGGAATTTCATCAAAAAATTAAAAATGGAACTGTCTTTGGACCCAGTGATTCCACTGCTGCATATATCCTAAGAATCCCGAGACACCAATTCAGAAAAGTTATGCACCCCTGGGTTCACAGCAGTGCTATTTACAATAGGCAAGTGCTGGGAACAGTCTAAGTGCCCATCTGTGGTTGAATGGATTAAAAAACTGTGGTACATTTATACAATGTAATACTAGGCAGCAAAAAAAAAAAAAGAAAGAAAGAAAAAAGAAAAAAAGAAGGGATTCTTATTTTACAACAGCAGGGATGGAACTGGAATCTATTATGCTAAGTGAAATAAGTCAGTCAGTGAAAGACGAATACCATATGATCTCACTTATAAGAGGAATGTCATGAACAAAATAAACTAATGAGCAAAATAGAACCAGAGGTATAGATTCGTGGAATAGACTGACAGGAGTAAGAGGGGCAGGGGAGGTGGGGACTGGTTGAAAGAAGGTGAAAGGATTAGTCAAAGAATAAATATGAAGGACGTGGACATGGACAATAGTGTGGGGATTGATTATGCAAGTTGGAGGTGGGTTAGGTGGAGGGAAGTGAAGGGGAAAAATTGGGGTAACTGTAAACACATAAACAATAAAGCATATTTAAAAATACCACTACAATACAAAGAGTTTTTTAATTTGGGGCCTTGCCCATAATAAAAGTTATCAGCAGAGTTAACTCTTTAGGATCAAAGAATAGGACAGGACAAACTCTAATTACCAAATATCTGTTTATCCTACTGTCCTGCTAGTGACCTTTTTCCCCTTTGATGCTCCAGGTGCCTTACTTCACCTTTAGCTCAGAATGTCACATATACCTCATTATCCCTTTGACCCTGCTCCTCTCACCTATGTATCTGTTACCAGACCACCTCTGCACCTGGGCTGGCCCTGCCTAGGCTCTGTCTGTGAACTTCCATGTATCAGGCGACCTCTAGGTCCTTGACTTTCCCAGGAAAGATTTCAAGGACACACTAGGGTGACAATAGAGTAGGTTTTATTCAGGTAGATAAAAAGAAACAAGCCCAGGCACCACTGGGAAAGAAAAGTACCCATCTGAGTGGAAGAGGGCTACCTGGAGATGGAGTTTGCGCACCAGTTAGTTCTTGGGATTTTATGTGTGTGCAAGGTGGGGGAGGGTATGTCCAAGGTGAAGGAAGGGGTTTCTTCAACCTTTAGGGCACTAATTTCTGACTCTGTCTTCTGGTTGGGAAGGGCCCTTGTTCAAACATGATCCTTCTGGAAGTGTCATGGCCTTTGCTCCCCTCAATTTGTGGTGTCAATTTTCATTATAATGATGGTATAATGAGCTTTGGAGTGGGTCTCCAGTACATTTTTCCTCCATTTTGGTATCAACTGGAGTAGCCAGTCCTTGTTGTTGACTTCCACACCCACCAGAGAGGTTTTCCTGTGGTAAACTGTTTTCTCTTTGATCATGACTGAATGAGGGTGGGGTCTGGTGAAAGGATGTCTGTTCCTACCACTTCATGCCACCTGTTGGGATTTTCCCTAAGTCCTTTCTGTCCTGCCTCATATACACATAGAACCCATTGGGAGATATATACTTGAAAATCACCTTTTTTGTAGGTACTATAGCAGGTATTCTGAGCACTGAGCTGAATAGGACAGTAAAACAAGAAGACTGGTTATAAAACCCAGTAGGATGAGACTAGTGTAAATGCCTGACATTACACTTTTATTTTATTTTATTGTTGTTCAAGTACAGTTTTCTGCATTCTTTCCCCACTCCCCCTCCCCAGCCATCTCCACCTCCCTTGCCTGATCCCACCCGCCCCTTGATTTTGTCCTTGTGTCCTTTATAGTTGTTCCTGAAAACCCTTTCCCCTTTTAGCCCCATTATCCCCTTACACCTCCCTTCTGGTTACTGTCAGTTTGTTCTTTATTTCCATGTCTATGGTTCTATTTTGCTCACTTGTTTGTTTTGTTGATTAGGTTCCACTTACAGGTGAGGTCATATGGTATTTGTCTTTCTCTGCCTGGCTTATTTCACTTAGCATAATGCTTTCCAGTTCCATCCATGCTGTCACAAAGGGTAGGAGCTCCTTCTTTCTTTCTGCTGTGTAGTATTCCATTGTGTAAATGTACCACACTTTTTTGATCTACTCATTTACCGATGGGCACTTAGGTTGCTTCCAGCACTTGTCTATTGTAAATTGCGCTGCTATGAACATTGGGGTTCTTAGGTTCTTTTGGATTGGTGTTTCAGGGTTCTTAGGATATAATCCCAGCAGTGGAATTGTCGGGTCAAAAGGCAGTTCCATTTTTAGTTTTCTGAGAAAATTCCATACTGTTTTCCACATTGGTGCACCAGTTTGCAATCCCGTGAACAATGCACTAGATTTCCATTTTCTCCACACCCTTGCCAGCACTTCTTGTTTGTTGATTTGTTTATGATGGCCATTGTACACAGAGTGAAAGTGAAGCGTTGGAAAAGAATATTCCAAGCAAATGGGCAGGGAAAAAAAGCCAGGGTAGCAATAATCATACCAGACAAAATAGATTTCAAAACAAGGGCCATTAAAAGAGACCCAGAAGGTTACTTCATAATGACATTATAGTTTTTCAGGTATGAGGCATTTGTTTTAAAGACATCCATCTCAAATAATCCTTGTGCCAACTGTGTGACAAGGCTTCTTAGAGAAACACCCAAGCCTCCCCACCCAACTCAATCCATTCTCTCACTCTCTCTCTCTCTCCTCCCCACCCCCATTCCAAACCTTCTGTGGCCCTCAGGGTGCTGTGTACCCTCCAGGACCTTAGAGTAATATCCTTATAGTTTCATAGTTCCATGATGGTTATTGCAATTATAATAAAGGACCACGAGGTGCCGTTGTTATGCAACATTAAGTGTGGTCTGAGGAACAAGTAGCAGGACCCCAGGCCAGTGCCCAGGCCTTCCTATCCTGTAGCATCACTGTCAACAAGCTGAGACTTACAGGGAACAATGATCAGTCTACATCCTCAGCAAGAGCCACTAAGGTACTGATGTACAAAGAATGAGGGACACACAGTAAAAACTGAGGCTTCAGATTTTCCTGGAATGAAAGTATATAAATGGTGTGAGTAACCAAGTGTAAAAATTTTGCATATGACAATATATTTATGACTATCTATCTATGAAATAAGATCATATTACTACAGTGATGTATGTCATTTGAGAAGAAATCAGTCTTAAGAAATCAATGCTTGCTTGTTCATTTCATTGATTAGGTTCCTGTTAAAAGTGAGATCATATGGTATTTGTCTTTTACCTCCTGGCTTATTTCACTTAGCATAATGCTCTCCAGTATAGCCAAAGACATTGAAATGAGAATAGGCTGACAGTGGTCAGAGGGGAGAGGAGAGGGGACAATGGGAGAAAAAAGTGAAGGGTTTACAGGAACAATTATAAAGGACATATGGACAATAACAAGGGGGGTGGAAATGGGGGAGGGAGGTGGGGAGGGTTGGGGTGGGAGGCAAGGGAAGGAAAGGCAGAAAACTGTACTTGAACAATAAAAATATACAAAAAAAGAGAAATCAATGCTGCCAGGAAATAAACTGGAATTTACAAATATTTCTGATTAATGTTGGGAAAAACTGTGTGAAGCTAGGAAAATGAGAAAGAGAAATACTGACTAGATAATAGATGTAGCAGAAAGCTTAATAAAATGGTGATTTAATTTTCACAGAGAAGCTGAACTCATGGAAATGGAAATTCCAGAACAGAAATAATAGGAGCAAGTTCAAAAACCACAATCTAATTAAAATTCCACAATTTGGATTCTATTTTCTTTTTTTTTTTTTTCCATTTAAGGGCCTAGAAATCAAGGTCACTTTTTCAATTTCAGATTAATTGTCTCTTGTTTACCTGCCATCCAAAGAATCTTTTCAGAGCTCCCTTTATGTCTCTATTCCTGAGGCTGTAGATGAAGGGGTTCAGCATGGGTGTGACCACAGTGTACATCACTGAGGCTGTTGCACTTGACTGTGAGCTGTGGGTACCAGCAGAGCTGAGATACACTCCTAGGATTGTGCCATAAAATATGGACACAACTGAGAGGTGAGATGAACAGGTGGAAAATGCTTTATATTTCCCCTGAGCTGATGGGATTGCTCGTATGGAGGACACAATCTTAGAGTAAGAGTAAAGGATCCCAGCAAGGGGACCACCACCCAGTAGCACAGTTACAAAGTAAATCACAACATTATTAAGAAATGTGTCAGAACAGGCAAGTTGGGTCATCTGACTGAGTTCACAGAAAAAGTGGGGGATTTCCAAGCCTGGGCAGAATGACAGCCTCAACACCATCAAGCACTGTAGCAAGGAATCCAGGGCACTCATGATAAAGGACACCAGAAACAGCAGTCCACATAGCCGGGGGTTCATGATGACCATGTAGTACAGGGGGTGGCAGATGGCCACAAAGCGGTCATAGGCCATCACAGTCAGGAGGAAGTCATCCAACACTGCAAAGAGTATGAAAAAATACATCTGTGTGATGCAGCCTGCATAGGTGATGGCTTTGCTCTGTGTCTGGATGTTCAGCAGCATCTTTGGGATGGTGGTGGAGGTGAAACAGATGTCTACCAAGGACAGGTTGGAGAGGAAGAAGTACATGGGTGTGTGGAGGTGGGAGTCTGAGCTGACAGCCAGGATGATGAGCAGGTTTCCCAATACAGTGATCAGATACATGGAGAGGAACAGCCCAAATAGGATGGGCTGCAGTTCTGGTTCCTCTGATAGTCCCAGAAGATGAAATTCTGACACTCTAGTAAGGTTCCCCAGATCCATGAGGTAGAGGCATTCTTCTTCCTAACTTTCAGGAAGGAGAAAAAAATAGGAGTAGTTTTCATACACACCTGCATTACTAACTTAGCACTAATGTTACAGTTTATAATTTGCGGTCAAGAAATTAATTTCAGCCATTGGCTGATATGGCTCAGTGACTTGAGTGCCAGGATACAATCCAAAGAGTCTTGGGTTTGATTAATACCTGGGTTGTGGGCCAGGTCCCTGGTTGAGAGGGTGCAAGAGGCAACTGCACATTGGTGTTGCTCCCCCTCTCTTTCTCCCTTCCTTCCCCCTTCTCTAAATATAAATAAATAAAATCTTTGTAAAAATAGAAATTAATTTCTATATTTTGGGATGGACTATTCCTGTCTATGAGTTGTCTGTGTCATCTTAGAGCAGGAATATTTATCCCAACAGGTTTTCTTCCTAAGGTGTCAGGAATACTTCAGTTTTAATGAGAAATATTTCATGTACTTTGGGACTATAAATTGAGTGCTGACCATGTTTTCAGCACTGTCTGGGCTGTGAGTAGAAAAAATAACACAAGTACCTACACATCAATTTTGGGGATAGAATATAGAAACAAATAATAGAAATAAATATAACATTACAGATAGTGACAAATCCTATGAAGAAAACGAAAGCAGGTCTAAAGGAGAAAGTGACTAAGCCGTCCTATTTCTTATGTGTCTTTAGGTATGACCTGCCAACAAGGTGACATTTAAGCACAGAACTCAAGGGAGAAAGGGAGGGAGATCAAGCTTATGTGGGCAAGTGTGTGCCCAGCAGAGGCAACTGCCAGTACCCAGGCCTTATGGAGGAGCTTCAGGGGTGTAGTGATTTGCTCAAAGGTAATATCAGAGCATGTGATGGGCCACGGTTATAATCATTTCAGGTTGCTTCTAGGCAGTGGGTTTCCACCAGAAATGATTTTTCCTCTAGCAATGCTTGGAGGGATACCACTAAACACCTACAATTCACACCCGCTACCCCAATTCTTGTCCTTCCCTAAATGTCAATAGAAAAGGTGACAGAACCTAGTTTAGCCCAGCACTTCTCCAGTTTCAATGGGCTTGTGAAGTCCCCAGGATTCTAGTTCAAATGCAGAGTCTGATTCAGCAGGTCCTTCAGGCTCAGAGAAGCTGTGTTTCTGACAAGTGCCCGGGTAGTGTTGATGCTGTAGGTCCTGGTCTGTGGACCACTCTCCGTGAAGAAAGGCTATGGTTCTGTGTTAGACTCAGTTGCAGGTTGTTTTAGTTCCTGTGATCCAAACATTGTCTCTGCATGGGGTTGTGGAGAAAGAGTGTGTTCACTCATTCCAGAGGCTATGATATAATCTGTGTATCATTAATATCAGGGTCCTTGACTAGCACAAAATAATACACTTCTGCAAAACCATTTTTAGCAGGCAGAATAAGGACCTCTATAAGGTGTATACCACCTAGTCCCAAGTACCTTGAAATAAAATATTTTTTTCCTAGCAAGGGGAGGATGAGGGTATCTGATGGAACAAAGCTACTAATCAACTGACTTGAAGGTAGAAGATGAGCAGGATCATCTGGGAGGACTAAGGTCAGCACAGTGCTGCCCTAGATGCAGAGAGGGAGACCAAGAGAAAGGGTGGCACTGCTGGCTTTTATGAAGGAGGAAGGGCCCTGAGCCAAGGAATGCAGGTGATCAGAACACAAACTGGAATTGGGAGAAAACAGGTTCTTCCCTGAGTCTCTAGAAGGGACCCAGCCCTGCAGACACCTTGAGATTAGCCAGTGAGACTTGAGCCAGGCTCTGACACCTAGAACTGTATACCCATATTTGTGCTCACTGTGAACAACTTGTGTGGGAGCGCTTCCCAGCAGTCTAGGCAGTCTAATAGTCACTCCTTCAGTGACATGTGATGGAGGGGCTGAGCTTAAGTCTCTTCATTATTAGCTTCCTTGAGGAAGTATTTTATTTTGAAACTGCACAGGAAGTAGAAAAGAAAATTTGAAACAATTTGGAGATATTCCACCCTGTTAGCTGTAACAGTGAAGTCTTCTTGGCATAAATATAAACATAAGGCACATTAATGTACCTAAAATTAAGATTTAAGGTACAATGTGTGACCTTAATTTTCTCATCACTGAATTGTCAAAACTTGTTGCTCAGCACACTATATTTTTTGGTAGAACTTGGTCAGTCCTCAATTTGTATTCTCCACGAGCATGAATCTGTCAGTCAAAGCATAGAAATGTGGTCACTGTGGGAAAAGGCTGTGTGTGGGATAGGAATTTCTACTAACTCTTTTAATATAAAAAGTAAGAGGGCACAAACCCCAACACATAGACAGCCTTGGCAGTAGTGAAGTAACACTACTTAGTATTCCTTTTTACACTTATTAAGTAATTCTCATGTGGATACTCAGCATGAGAGAAGATACTACAATGTCTGTCTCACTAACTGCTGCTGCAAGGTACTGTCTACCTCACTGGTTAGATCTTTTCAAAGAATACAAAACATGCTGAAATACACCCTGTCTTGGAAATTTAGTACAAACACTCACTTCACTGAACTGCTCTCTACACCTAATGCTCTGTTTCCTTCTCCCCAAACAGCAAAACTTCTCAGAAGTGTTTTCATTTTCCTACAACCATTTCCTGCATCTCACTCATTGTGCAGCATCTTCCCACTGGACTTCCAGTCCCATCACCTAATTCTCAGCTATGGCCCTAGAGTGCAGATTCAAACAGATGCATCTTTATTAATATATTAAGTAAATTAAGTATAAACTAGTTCCTTAACCAAGAATACAAACAGACGTAATCTGGTCTCGGAGCTAGGCTGATTATGGTCTCAGTGACTCAGGTAAAAGTTCACAGGTTCCAGCTTCTGTGACCCTTTCCTGATGTACCTACCAGGCTCCCAGACTCCTCTGGATGGGTTTTCTGAAAGGAAGGTCTCTGTGTGCCAGTCAGAATTGGTCCCTGGATGGTGGATGATGGAGACTGAAGTTTTATCTCACCGAAGGCAGCAGGAAGGAGTGAAGCATCAGTTCCTGAGACAGACTTAGGAATCAGCAGCAACAACCATGTCCTGTCCACCAACATTGTACAAGCTCAGGGGCTTTATGGGGAGATATTTATTGTCTCTGTATATCTGCTCATCAGGCACATTTCTGTTGTGTTATTCCAAATTCTAAGTACATGATTTCCCTCTGGGCCCCTGGAATAAATAGAAAATTTCTCTGAATGATTCTCAGATCCCAAGAGACCAGGTTAGAAGCCAGGTGGATTTAGATTTTATGACTCCTTGTCTTGGATCTCACCTGCTTCCCAGAGGTCTCACCTCCTCCTACTTTATTCAAACAGTGAGTTAACATTTTCTCCACAGTCTGAGACTATGGAACCTCTCAGGACCAGGTCCCTTTGACCCTTAAAGCACTGAATTGTGGTGGGGACACAGCCCTGACATCTCCAGAGCATTGGATTTACATCTTCAATGAGAGGAGAGCTGTGTTCTTTTGATATGGAATTCTGGGCACCACAATATTTCCCTTCCTGACACATTTTTCAAAATAATTACAGATTTTGTATTTGTTTCACAAATTAAAAGCTGTGATCTAGTGTCTCATTATAAAACATGTTAATTTTGACAGATACACTTTGATAGTTTTACCTCATATAATCTGAGCTTAATACTGTATCAATTTTGTCTGGTTTAATTGATTAATTAATTTATTATTATTATTTTTATTATTACAATTTTTTTTGTTTTCCATCTACAGTTTCTGCCTTTTCCCTCCACCCCTCCTCATCACCCCAACCCTCCCCGCCTCCCTCACCCAATTCCACTCCCCCTTGTTGTTGTCCATATGTCCTTTGTAATTGTTTCTGTAAACCCTTCACCCTTTTCCCCCCTTATCCCCTCCCCTGTCCCTTTTGGTCACTGCCAGCCTGTTCTCAATTTCAATGTCTTTGGCTATACTTTGCTTCCTTATTTGTTTTGTTGATTAGGTTCCTGTTAATGGTGAGATCATATGGTATTTGTCTTTATTTTTGAAAAGTCTATTCTATGAGACATTACTATTATGAACTTCATTCCCTTTTGCAGAAATGAGGTGAAGGGTTTTAGTAATTTGCTCAAAGTTATGAACTAAGTGTGTGATGGGCCTTGATTGGAATCTATCAGGTTGCTTTCAGTTTAAAGTCAGGGCCAGTAGTTCTCTACATGAGATGGTTTTGCCCCTGGAGACATTTGGCAATGTGTGGAGGGAGGCTGCTAAGCACCCACACTACCCAACAGAAATAATTATCCCACCCCTTTTGTTAACATGAGAAGGTGAGAAAGCCTAGTCTAGACCAGCACTTCCCCAATTCCAAGGTGCATATAAGTCATCCAGGATTATAATTCAAATGCAGGTGCTGATGACCCAGAGGTTCTTTGAATGAAACAGGTTCCCAGGCAGTATTGATCCTGCATGTGCTGGTCTGTGGGCCCCATGTTCTCGTAAGACTGTACCTGTGTTAGAGCTGAGTGTAGGTAGTATAGGTCTTCAGAACCAAAAATCACTTTGCATGTAATTTTAAATGAATAGTGTATATACACTCCTTCCAGAAGCTGTTATAAATTCATTGTTCAGACTTCTGGTCAAGATGGAGGTGTATGTACACACACTATGCCTCCTTGCACAACCAAAACAAGGACAACAACAAATTTAAAAACAAAAAACAACCAAAACTAACAAAAATTTGAAGTGTATGGAAGTTCGATCACCAAGGAGTTAAAGAAGAAATATTCATCCAAACCGCTAGGAGGGGCAGAGACTCCCAGCCAGGTGGAGAAGACTTGTGGCAAGGTGGCAGCTGGCAGACTGGGTAGTCCCACATTTGGGCACAGCTAAACTGGGAGGAACAACTGGGGAGTGAGACAGACCACACAACCCAGGGTTCCAGTGTGGGGAACTAAAGCCTCAAAATCTTGGACAGAAAACACCTGTGAGAATTGAGGTGGCAGGAAAACTCCCAGCCTCACAGGAGAGTTTGTTGGAGAGACCCACAGGGTCATATAATGTCGCAAACCCACCCACCAGGAATCAGCAACAGAAAGGCCCAATTTGATTGCAGGTAGTGGGGGAAGTGACTAAAGACTGTCAGAGAGCAGAACAAAGGGTATCGCTCCCTCTTGAACACTGCCCCCCCCACCCCATATAGTGCCACAATGCAGCAACGTGGGTTGCCTCTCTCTGGTGAAAACTAAGGCTCTGCCCTGTTCTACATAAGAGACATGCTGAGACAAAAAAATATGCCTCAAATGAAAAAAAAAACAGATCAAAGCTCCAGAAAAAATACAACTAAGTGATGAAGATATAGCCAACCTATCAGATACACAGTTCAAAAAACTGATAATCAGGAAGCTCACAGACTTGGTTGAATATGGTCACAAATTAGAGGAAAAAGTGAACACTATGAAAAGTGAAATAAAATAAAATTTACAGGGCACAAACAGTGATGGGAAGGAAACCAGGACTCAAATCGGTGGTTTGGAACAGAAGGAAGAAATAAACATTCAACCAGAACAGAATAAAGAAACAAGAACTCAAGAGAGAGAGAGAGAGAGAGAGAGAGAGAGAGAGAGAGAGAGAGAGAGAGAGAGAGAGAGAGAGAGAGACTTAGGAACCTCTGGGAAATCTTTAAATGTTCCAACATCCAAATCATAGGGGTCCCAGAAGGAGAGGAGGAAGAGCAAGAAATTGAAAACTTATTTGAACAAATAATGAAGGAGAACTTCCCCAATCTGACAAAGGAAATAGACTTCCAGGAAGTCCACAAAACTCAGAGTCCCAAAGAAGTTGGACTCAAGGAAGCACACACCAAGGCACATCATGATTACATTAGCCATGATTAAAGAGAAGGAATCTTAAAAGCAGCAAGAGAAAAGGAGATAGTTACCAACAAAGGAGCTCCCATTAGCTGCTTTCTCAAAAGAAATCTTGCAGACAAGAAGGGGCTGAAAAGAAGTATTTGAAGTCATGAAAGGCAAGGACCTATATTCAAGATCACTCTATCCAACAAGGCTATCATTTATAATGGAAGGGCAGATAAGGTGCTTCCCAGATAAAGTCAAGTTAAAGGAATACATCATCACCAAGCCCATATTATATGAAATGTTACAGGGACTTATCTAAGAAAAAGGAGATAAAAATATGAACAATAAAATGACAACAATCTCACAGCTATTAACAACCAAACCTAAAAACAAAAACAAAAACAAACTAAGCAAACAACTAGAAGAGGAATAGAATCACAGAAATGGAGATCACAAGGAGGGTTATCAGTGGGGGAGTGGGACAAAGAGAGAGGGGGAAAAGGTACAGAGAATAAGTAGCATAAATTGTACATAGAGAATAGTTAGAGGGAGGTTAAGAATAGCGTAGAAAATATAAAGCCAAAGAAATTAAATGTATAACCTTCATTTAAAAATAATTTTTGAAAAAATGAAGACCAACCACCCTAGCCATGTGGCTCAGTTGATTGGAAAATCATTCCACATATGGAAAGGTTGCCTGTTTGATTCCCAGTCAGGGTACTTGCCTGGATTGTGGATTTGACCCTTGGTTGCGGTGTGTGCCGGTGGAGACAGATCAGTCTTTCTCTCCCATGTGAATGTTTCTCTCTCTCTCTCTCTCCTTGTCTTTCTTTCTCTCCCTGTCTGTCCCTCTCTCACTCATCAATGGAAGCATGTTCTGGACTTTTACATCTATTTTCTACACCAAGGTAGTGAGTTTTCTGTCATTGTTTTTTCAAATAGGTTTTCAATTTCTTGGTCCCTCACTTTTCCTTCTGGCAACCCCATGATGTGAATGTTGGTATGCTTGAAGCTGTCCTGGAGGCTCCTTAATCTGTTCTCATTTTCTTAGATTCTTTTTTCTTTTGCTGTTCTGGTTGAGTATTTTTTCTTCCTTATATTTCAAATCACTTATTTGATTCTCTGCTTTACCCACTCTACTGTAGATTTCCTGTAAATCATACTTTATTTCAATTAATGTATTCTTCAGTTCTGACTGGATCTTTTTTTATACTGTTGAGGCCCTCATTAAGTTCACTGAGCATCCTTATAAACAGTGTTTTGAACTCTGCATCTAGTAGATTGCTTGTCTCCATTTTGTTTAGCTCTTTTTCTGGAGGTTTTTTATTTCCCTATTCTTTCTTCTGGGCTACGTTTCTTTGTCTCCTCATATTTGAAGCCTCCCTGTGTTTGTTTCTATGTATTAGGTGGAGCTGTGACATCCCTCAGTCTTAGTAGAGTGGCCTAATGTAGTAGGTGTCCTGTAGGGGCCAGTGTCACAGCCTTCCCTATCACCCAAGGTGGGTAGTTAACTTGTGCTCACTGTGTGGGCTGCGTACACTCTCTGCTTGTAGTTGACCTTGACTACTGTTAGCACTTCTATGGGAGGGATTTAGTGACGCTGATCAGTGCAGGGATTGGCTGTCACCACTGACTACTGACCTCAAACCAGCTTGGAGGATTAGTTGTGCGGGGGCCCACTCCACATAGTAGGACTTCAGAAGGGCTCTGGTGCCTGGTGAGTTTGCCTTTTGAGTGTGCCCCTTGTAGAGGTGGTTGGGTGGTGATGCTCTGATGTGGTCTGAAGCTGTCCACTGGGTGGTATGACTCTGGGGACTCCCAGAAGGTGCAGACCAAGGTTAGTCAACCCTGTCTAATGCCCAGGGTCATCTGGCATTAGCTATTTGCAGATGACTTCTACTTTTGTTGAGCTTAGATGTGTTTAGGCGAGGCCAATCTGTGAACCAAGGCTTTTAGTGCTTAGCAAATGGTACTGGGCTCACCAATACAGCTTGTTTGAGAGAGTTTATGAAAATCTGAAGCATGAGACAAGACTTTTGTATTGGAAAACCACTGAAAACAGCTTGGGAGAGACCAAATGTTTGGTGGGACAGGATCTGAGGGAATCACCAGTGGGGCAAAAAGTGTGAGCCAGGTGAAAGAGTCTCAGATATGGCACTCGCCTGCCAGCTCTGTGGGAGGGCTCATCAAAGGAACAACTGCCTCTGCCAGCACATCTGTCTGGGATAAAGCTGCCCCTCCAGCTCTCACCCTGATGCCAAACAATTCAGTTACTCTCCATGTATCTCTGATGCCTTGCAATCAGTTGACCTGGCTCTGGAGCTCAGAGAAAGTGAGTTTGAGTAAGTCTATGCATGGATCCTTGAAGAGGAACTGCCTGGGACTCCAGGAGTTTTCATCTTCCTCAGCCTTGATCCCTGCTTTTTTATTACAGCCAGCAGTTATGGGGACTTCTCTCCCTAACACTGGAACCCTGGGCTGGAGGGCATGGTGTGGGGCTGGGACCTCTCATTCCTCAGTTGCTACCCTTACAATTGATATCCACCACATGTGGGTGTGGGACCACCTGGTTCCATGTCTCTGCCCTCCTACCAGTTTTGCTGTCATTTCTTCTTTAATTCTGTAGTTGTAGGACTCCCATTCACCTTGGTTTTTGGTGGTTCTGAATGATAGTGTTTCTGTAGTTTGTTGTACTTTTGATATAGTTGTGGGAGGAAGGGAGTACAGCATTTACAAACTCCACCATCTTGACCAGAAGCCTATTGAAGTTTATTTTGGATAATTGGACTAACAAGTGACTCTATTTAGGTTCCCTTCCAGGTAACGTGGATAGGTTGCAAGGATTTGCATGTTTAGTGTAAAACTGGTGACCCTGCATCACAGGACTTAGTAGCAACTTAAGTTCTCTTGTGCATCACCCTCCGGTCATGGAGATGGAAGAGATTCTAGTGCATGAGGAGGTATGAATCAATGATATTGATGTAGTTCATTCACTGTCCATTTTGTAATTAGGACAAAATTTAGAAAAGTGGAGATATCATGTTTAGATTCATAGAGGAATCATATTTGTATACAGCACTGTAATTCTGGAGAACAAACAGGGAAATAATTTAGCAATAAAATTTAAGATACATTAACCATCATTTACCTCAAAGAAAACTCGCTCTCACACATAGAATCCATCTTCTATGCATGAGTAGGTTACAGCATGAATTTTTAAAACAGAGTAATTAAATAAATAATGCTCTGCCATCTCTAAGGTCAATTTTGATGAAAGTTCATATTAGGCCAATCTATTTAAAAAATTTGTCTTTTCATGTGGACTCTGCCTGGAGATACATATTTGATAATCAATGTTTTCCAGGGACTATGGCAGGCACTGTGGACACTGAACAGAATGAGAGAATAAAAGCAGGAGTCCAGTTAAAAATCAGCAGAATATGACAGTCCACATTGTCAGGATGAATAGTTAAGAGAGTGAAGTAGACTAGATTCATAGACCAAAGTGGAAACTGTATTTCACATTTCTTTGTGAAAACATCACATGGTCAGACTTAGTTAACAAGTGGAGTTTATTTCATGTGGGTAACACATCTCATGAATATTCTTTCAGTAAATCTAAAGAAAATTCTTGAGATCCTATGAGCCATTTGAGAAGAAATTATTCTTAAGAAATCCAAATATTTTTTATTTAAATTTTGGAAAAATTCTGTGAGAGTGAGATAATGGACAAAAGAGAAAATGTTTACATATTACAGCAGGAAACATGATAAACTGAGGTTCTTCTATTGTTTAGAGAAGTTGAATTCAAATAAGTGGAAACTTTAGTAAATAAGTAAAAGAGGCACATTAAACTTTCTGAGCCCATTGACATCCCTCTTCACAGACTGGTGCATGGCTAGCTTCACCTTGTACTTGACTCTGAAGTCTTCAGCAGCAAGATGGGCATCATCAATCTGCAGGGTGATGCAGCTTTGTCCACAGAACTTGCATAGACCTGAATCTTCAGGTCCTCGATGGTCTTGAAATGATGTCCCCAGTCTCTGTTCTGGGGTCCCTTCTTCTCCAGGTGTTTCCAGATTTTTCTCTCCAGTTTTGATGATCAGCCTCCAAGGCTTCTCACTGTCTTTAGGAAGGCAACCAGGTGGTCATTCAGACATTGCATAGACTTCTTCTGGCTCTGGATGTGCCCTCTGCCTGCCAAATCCCCAGCTGCCCCTTGCACTGGTGGTGTGGGACATGGAGACCTGGTATTCCAAGTACCCAGAACCTGTAGAAATGCTGACTGAGCTGCAGGCTGGCTGGGTTGTTGGCTGGGTTACTGCAGGAGCCCAGGGTCTGGTAGTTTGTGGAGAAGCCAGAACAGGTTATGAGCTCATGTTGTTCAAGGAGGAAGGCAAGAGGCCAAAGTCCCAATTCAGATGTTTTTTCAAGAAAATTTATTTTATTAATTTTGAGAGAGAGAGAGAAAAGGAGAGGATGGGGTTGGGAGAGAGAGAGAGAGAGAGAGAAATACCAACCTGCTTTTCCACTTATTGATGCATTCACTTGATGCTTCTTGTATGTGTCCTGAGTAGAGAAATACAAAAGAACCTGAAAACAATGAATTAAATGGCAATAACTACATACCTATCAACAATTACTTTGAACAGAAATGGATTAAATGTTCCAATAGCATGACAAATGGATAAAAAGACATGATAAATATATACTATAGAATATTACTTAGCTCCAAAAAGTATGTGATCTTGCTATTGTGACAATATGGATGGACTTAGTGGGTATAAAGCTAAGGGGAATGAGTCAGATCAAGAACAAAAATTACCATATAATTACACTTATATGTGGAATCTAAAGAACAAAAACATGAACAAACAGAACGGAAACAGACTCATAGATCCAGGAAACAAATGGATGGTTGCCAGATGCAAGGTGTCTTGGGGGGATGAGTGAAAAAGGTGAAGAGATTAAGAAGTACATATCGGTGGTTACAAAATAGTCGTGGGGATGTAGAATGCAACATAGGGAATGTAGTCAATAATATTGTGGTAACTTTATTTAGTGTCAGGTGGATGCAAGGCTTATTGGGGTATCACATTGTAGGTTGTATAAATGTCTAACCACTATGCTGTACACCTGAAACTAGTATAACACTGAATGTCGACTATAATTAAAAATTTTTTAATTTAGAAAAAAAACAAAGAGTTTGGCATAATTATGCAGGTGCTACTAACAAAGCCACCATGGTGCTCTGAGTGTGGAAGAGGAAAGAAGAATAGTTGGAATCAGAGGGAGATTTGAAGATGCTGCACCAGTTTCTCTGAAGATGGAGAAAGGGCCATGAGCCAAGGCATGCTTGTGGCCATGAGAAACTGGGATAGGAGAGGAAACGGAACTGCCCTCTGCCTCCGGAAGGACCTGGTCCTATAGACAACTTGATTTTAGTCCACTGAGACTAGTTTTGGGCTCTGACCTCCAAAACAGAAAAAGCTTAAATTTGTTTCATTTATATCCTACTGTTGTAATTTGTGACAGCAGCAACAGGAATGGAATACAGATGTTATTAAAAAAACATAGGTGAGGGAATGGAATTTTAGCTTTTCAATTCATTCATTTAGCTTTCCTTGGGTAAGGGCTTTTTGTGTTCAAATTTCACCTTAAGTAGAGACAAAAAGTAAAGTCAATTTGGATAATTAGTGACATTGAATATCTTTTTATATGTCTGTTTTCCATCTGTATGTCCTCTTTGGTGAATTATCTGTTCATATCCTTTGCCCATTCTTAAATTGGATTGTTTCATTTTTTCTTTTTTGGTGTTGAGTAGTATGAGTTCTTTCTAAATTTTCTGTATTAACCCCTTATCAGATGTATCATTGACAAATATGTTCTCCAGTTCAGTAGAATGTCTTTTCATTTTGTTGATGGTTTCTTTTGCTGTCGAAAACTTTTTAGTTTGATATAGTTCCTTTATTTGTTTGTTTGTTTGTTTGTTTGTTTGTTTATTGCTTTCTTTGCCCAAGGAGATATATCAGGAAAAATATTGCCTAAAGAAATGTCAGAGATTTTACTGCCTATGTTTTCTTCTAGAAGTTTTAGGACCCAGTGATTCTATTTATCTGAAATAACCCAAAACATTAATTTGAAAGAATATACACACCCATATGTTCATTGCAGCATTATTTACAATAACAGAGATATAAAATCAATCCAAGTGCCAATCAGTAAATGATTGCATAAATAAAATGTGGTACATACAAAAATGGACTATTACTTTTCCATTAAAAAGAATGAAATCTTACTATTTGAAACAGCAAGGATGGAGAAGAAGGTATTATGCTGAGTAAAATACGTCAGTCAGAGAAAAATAAATACCACATGATTTCATTAATAGGTGGAAATTAAAGAACAAAATAAAGGAAGAAATATTCAATCAGACTGATAGATACAGAGATTGAATGGGTGGTATCAGAGAGGATGAGGGTTTGGGGGCTGAGTCAAAGTGATTAAAAAGTATGAACTGGTAGTTCCAAATTAGTCATGAGGATGTAAAATACAGCATAGGGAATATAGTCAATAATGTTATGATAATTAAGTTTGGTGCCAGGTGGGTGCTGGAAATATCATTGGGAACACCTTGTAAAGTATATGATTGTCAAACCACTATGCTGTACATGTGAAATCAATACAAAAATAATATTGAAAGTAAACTGTAATTGAAAACTAAAAATACAAATGCCAAAAATAGTCCATTTGGAGATTTGGGGCATTAGCTGGAACAATGAACTTCCTGTTCTTTGTGTCAGAATTCCTACATTACTTTAATTTTGTATTAACTCAAGCAGTCATTCTTTTAATTTCTATCCTGTCAAAATTGGTCACAAATTTCCTTTCAGCATAAAAGATGGGTTTATAGTGAGTCTGTATTCATGTATGTGTGTTTGTGTGCTTTTTTGAAAGAAAATCAGTTACAAGTGTACACATGCATATACATAGATATGCCCCTTACTTATAAATAGAGCTCTTGGACGTAACAGAGTATTTCCAAGCATTTCATTTATTTCTACTGACTTCCACATGAGTTAAATTTACCATCCCACATCAAAGTCAGAAATAAGGAAACGGAGGCTCAGGGTGATTGCATTTAAAAATTATACAACAGCAGTTAAAGCTTTTGAGCACTTTCTCTTTTTATGACACATTTATTTTTTTATTTTTTTAAGATTTTATTTTTTAAATTTATTTTTAGAGAGGGAAGGGAGGGAGAAAGAGAGAGAGAGAGAGAAACATCAATGTGTGCTTGCTGGGGGCCATGGCCTGCAACCTAGGCATGGGCCCTGACTGGGAATCCAATCTGCGATGCTTTGGTTCTCAGCCCACGCTCAATCCACTGAGCTATGCCAGCCAGGGCCATGACACATTTATTTTTGAAAAATGTATTAAGATAGGCTTTATTTATTTTAAATTTTTTATTGACTTTATTGGAGTAACATTGGTTAATAAAATTATATAGGTATCAAGTGTATGATTCTATATTATGTTATCTGTACACTGATTATGTGTTCACCACCCAGTCAGGTCTCCTTCCTGAACCATTTATCCCCTCTTTACCTCTCCTATTTCCCTCCAGCCCCTTTCCCTCTGGTAAGCACCATAGTGTTGTCTGTGTCTATGAGTCATTTTTTTGTTTGTTTTTGCTTAATCCCTTCACCATTTTCACCCAGGCCCCAAACTTGCTCCCCTGTACCTGGTGTCAGTCTGTTCTCTGTATTTATGAGTCTGTCCCTATTTTGTTTGTTAGCTTATTTTGTTCATTAGATTCCACATGTGAGTAAAATCATATGGTACTTGTGTTCCTCTGACTGACTTATTTCACTTAGCCTAACACTTCACAGGTCCATCCATGCTGTTGCAAAAAGTAAGATTTTTTTTCATGAATCTGTAATACTCCATTGTATAAATGCAAAACAGCATTCTTATTTTTTCAGTTTTTAACAATGCATTTTTATTGTTGTTTATTCTATTACAGTTATTACAATTACACCCCCTTTTGGCTCCTCTTCCAAGCCCACCTCTGCTCCCACAGCCAATCCCCAAACCATTAGCTTTTTTATCCACTCATCTACTGATGGACACTTGGGTTGCTTCCAAATCTTGGCTATTGTAAACAATGCTGCAATGAACATAAATGTGCATGTAGTCTTTTGAATTAGTGTTTTGAGCACCTTTTGAAATTATATGTATATGGACCCATGCAGTATGTATTCTTAATTTTTGAATTGCCCCTTTAAAATAGCAAATTCTATATTTTAAATATGTGTACTTTAAATTATGTCATTATATGCCAATAAATTATATTAAAAAGTCCCATCTCATGGTAACATCAAGAACACAGTACCTGAGTCACATTTTATCAGGTGTTGGAGGTATGTCTTCTAATGGGTAGAAAACAAAGTGTGGTATATGGATAAAAATAGTAGGATTAAATTAAGGCTATTACATTTGGTAAATTCACTTTTTTGTAAATAGATGTTTAATTTACATATACAGCTAAATGGACATAAATTGGTTCAAGACAGGGGTGCACTACAACCTCACACAACATCAAGGATGAGCCATAGACACGCAATGCAGAGACTCACAGCTGAGGCAGACTCAGGAGATCTGAGCAAAGATCAGAACAACTTCCATCATATAATCCCATTCAATAATAAAAATGTTATAACAAACTATTCTATTTAGGATGCTTGTTATGCAGCAATAACTGATATAATAATAAGGCAAACAGCACTTATAATAACTGTGTTTCTTATATTTGGCATACATTCTGATATTTTGGCCAGCCTTTGTGATTATTTTGTTATTCAAGTTCATTACAGATAACTGTCCTCACAGGTGACTGTGTTGAGGTTCCCTTCTAGGGGTCTCCAAGAGGTTGCAAGCTCATGACCATTTGTGCAGAAAACCTGGTGATCCTGAATCATGTGACCAAGAAGGGATTCAGACTCTCCTGTGAGTCATTTTTAATTATGAAAAGAGATACCTGAGCATGAGAGAGACATGCAATAGATAATCTGGATACTTTACATTTATTGTTCCTTTAGTGGTTGAGACAAAATTTAGAAAAGAAGAAATGTTTTGCTTAGAGTCATAGAGGAGTCATAATTGTAGGCAGCACTGGAATTTTCAAGTAGGGAAAGAAATAGAAATCATTAAAGAGATAAAATACACTAACCAACCACTTATCACAATGCAGCAAGCCCCTTACACATGGGCATCAATCTTCCATACTTCCATGAGTACAGCAAGGAAAAGCAATACTTTGCACAATAATGAATTTAGTGATTAACAATTTTGTCTCATCATACTTCAGGTCATCTCTGACACTCAAACCATGTTAGGTTAATCAATTAAAATTTTGTGTCCATGGAGATTTCACTATAGGTATGTATGTGATGGTCAATTTCTGTTAGTGCCTTCAGTGGGCATTGGGACACTGAGTTGAATAAGACAATAAAAGCAGGAGAGCAGCTATGAAGCAGAGTGGCATGTTTGTAGTCTAAGTGCCTGACACAAAACTTTTGAATTCCAAGGCTTTGACTTCAAAGATAACAATGCTGAAGAAACATGTGGCCAGCTCTCTGACACAGCCGCTAGCTAAACACTCTGGCCTGCTCTCCTGTGAAGGCCCCCTCTAAGGAAAACCCTGGAGAACTTAGATAACTGACCTTGGCAGTGACCCACTGTTCACCTTTCACACCCTGACACCTGCTCTTAAGTTTTAAATTCACCAATAAGGACTGAAGCTTTGAAATTCTATCCATCCTACCCTCAGACTTGAATAAATGCAGAGCCCACAGTAATGTCCTCTCTCTATCTTTCTCTTCTTCCCCTCCTCTCCCATGACCTCATATGTGGGCCTTAAGCACTCCGTATACCCTTCAATCTCTGAGTAATCTTTTACCAGGTTCTCTGATGGTTTGGCTGAGAAGTGTCATGCAATCATAATAACTGAGAGGCATGATCCAACCACAATGTTGGCTCATGTTGGTGTCACAAGAACTCAGGGCCTAGGTGACTGTGCCAGGCATTTAGAGTGAATACCTGCAATTTCAATAGGCTGAGACTTAAATGGAACAGTGTTTAAACTCTACATTATTATGAAGAGTACTTAAGTTAGTGATATAAAAATCAATAACAGACCCAAAGTGAAAACTGCTTTCATATTTTCCTGTACAATGAAATGAATGTCCTTAGATGCCAAGTGTAGTTTTGTCCATCTGAGTAATACATCTCTGATTATACTTTCAGATAAACTAGGGGAAAATTTCTTGGCATGATATATATCATTTGAGAAGAAATTATTTTAGAAAAATCCAAGATTTCCCATGAAAGATATGGAAAATTCCAAATACTTCTGATCCAGGATTGAGAAAGACTTTCATAATGTTAATGGTCAAAGGGAAAACTGTTAACCTATTTTACAGAAGCTTAGCAAGTTAGTTACTTAAATTGTTAGAGAACATGAGTAGAAGGAAATGGAAATGCCAGGAAATAAAGAGAAGAAACCAGTCTACCCCTCAGGATCAGTAACAGCTTCTGGTTCTGAGACACTGAGTTTGCAATCAATGTCACATTTTGAGTATCAGAGCAATTGTCCCTTATTTGCCTGCCATCCCCAAAACTCTTTTCAGAGCTCCCTTTATGTCTTTGTTCCTGAGGCTGTAGATGAAGGGGTTCAGCATGGGTGTGACCACAGTGTACATCACTGAGGTGACTGCAATTGACTGTGAGCTGTGAGTACCAGCAGAGCTGAAGTTCACGCCTAGGACCGTGCCATAAAATAAGGAGACAACTGAGAGATGAGATGAACAGGTGGAAAATGCTTTGTACTTCCCCTGAGTTGATGGGATTGCTCGTAGGGAGGACATGATCTTAGAATAAGAGTAAAGGATCCCAGCCAAGGGACCACCAGCTAGCAGTCCAGTGGCCAAATACATCGCCATGTCATTAAGAAAGGTGTCAGAACAGGCAAGTTCGATCATCTGCTTAACTTCACAAAAAAAGTGGGGGATTTCCAAGTCTTCCCTGAAGGACAGTCTCAACAACATTAAAGTATGTAACAGGGAATTCAGAGAACTTATGATCCATGACACCAGAACCAGCAGTCCACAGAGCCAAGAGCTCATGATGACCGTGTAGTGCAGGGGGTGACAGATGGCCACATATCGGTCATAGGCCATAACAGTCAGGAGGAAGTGGTCCCAACCTCCAAATAATGTAAAAAAATACATCTGGGTTATGCCACCTGCATAGGTGATGGCTTTGCTCTGTGTCTGGATGTTCAGCAGCATCTTTGGGATGGTGGTGGAGGTGAAACAGATGTCGACCAAGGACAGGTTGGAGAGGAAGAGGTACATGGGTGTGTGGAGGTGGGAGTCTGAGCTGACAGCTAGGATGATGAGCAGGTTTCCCAACACAGTGATCAGGTACATGCAAAGGAACAGCCCAAATAGGATGGGCTGCAGTTCTGGGTCCTCTGATAGTCCCAGGAGAAGAAATTCTGAAATTGGGGTATTATTGCCTCGGACCATGGAGATGACTAGTAGGAAAAAAATGTGGCATGATTAGTTTTTATACAAATGGCAATCATGCTAGTATAGTTGAAAAACTACAACCACATTTTGCAGTAATCAATACCAATTTTGGTACATATCATAACCTTTAAGGCACCCCCCAACATCTCTGATTAGGAATTTCTGTCCTCAGATCTTTTTTCCAGATAGTCATGTGTTACACAGTTTTAATGAGAAATGCTTTCATATACTTGAGGAATAGTCATTGATATTCCACATCTCTAAGGAAAGGGTATAGGATGCTGAGAGAAAAATCTTTAGAATATAATGATAGTGAAAGAATATACTATATACATCATCCACCATGTTAGATGGTGTCAGGTGAAGAAAAAGAAAGTAGGGATAACAGAGTGGATGGGGGCATTTTATCTATTTTTAAGCCTTTTAAACATATTTTTATATGCTTTCATGTATCCCTGCAAATAAGGTGACACCTGAGTAGGGACCTCAGGGAAGACATGAGAAATTGAGCGGTGTGTGGGGAAAGAATCGGTGCAAATGCCCAGAGATGACACTTGTTTCAGACATTCAGGACTCAGACAGGACCGAGCACAGGGAGTAGAAGGAGGAAGAGCAGAGTGATGGTGTCAGAGAATGAGGGAGAGTGAGGTGGCCTCCCTGCTGCTGCTGAAACTCAGAGACAAGAAGAATCCCTTGCTTACATGGGGTTCCCTGTGTTCATTCACTTTATTTCCAAAAATCTTGTAAATAGTAAGAGATCTTTTTATTTTTGTGGGTTGGTTAATATTCTGGCTTCTGTTGTTAAAGGACACATTTTGGAGTATATGGGCTCAGGTCAAACTGCCCTGCAACACACACACACACACACACACACACACACACACACACACACACCGTGACTACTTCCTGGGACCTTGTTATCACTGAGCTCTTCCCACCCTGTCACAATAACTGGAAAAGAAAGGATGTAAGTCATGATGTCAACATCAGACTATCTTACCCTATGTATATAGAAATAGTATCTAAATTTAATTGGTTAAACCTCCCATGAACATGTAAACATGAAACTCCATTTTCATATGGCCATTCTGAGTCCCTTATTTAAAGGAGCTTAAAAAATTTGTTAAAAAGCAGAGAGGAAGATGTGCACATAGAGTGGGAAAGATCTAATCATTCAGGTGGTTGTTGAGTGGCTGATATGAGGCAAAACTTCCTGGTTCTGGCAGCATTCCAACTCCAGTTCTATGCCCTTCACACCCAGCATAACTGATAATACAGCAAAAAGCCATTTATCAGAGAGAAAGGAGTGATATTTTACATTGTCAAGATGTTGCAGACATTGAACATTGCACTAGAAAAATGACCAGAGGAAACAAACACTATCGGCATCAGCAAATACAATGTATGACAGTGGAGGTATTCATGATGAAGTGGAAACCCATTTCTAAATGATAATATATGCTAAGCTTTCGGCATTAGTGGCCGATTTCAAATTATCTACCAAATATCAGCTGTTTGAACTTGCAGGCCATCTGAACCATTTTATTTCTTTAATTTAATTGTATTTTTTGGTACAGCCTACATGATTTTTATATGCTCCCTTTTTTTAAAGAGTTTTTTTTAAGATTTTGAGAGAGAGAGAGAGAGAGAGAGAGAGAGAGAGAGAGAGGGAGAGAAGGAGAAACATCAATGTGCGGTTGCTGGGGGTTATGGCCTGCAACCCAAGAATGTACCCTGGCTGGGAATTGAACCTGGGACACTTTGGTTCCCAGCCCCCACTCAATCCACTGAGCTATGCCAGCCAGGGATATGCTCCCTTTCTTTAAAAAAAATGAGGTAACATTGGTTTCTGACATTAACTGTTTCAGATGCACAACATAAAAATTGTTAATGATATCACCTGATAGTGGGCATTGTGGCATCTGTCCGCCTACCACGGACAGATAATCAACACATTATATGAAAGGAGCTGGGTTAGGCCCTTCCTGTTGCTAAGTGAGTGGTGGCCACTGGGATGAGATGCAGCTGTTTATTCCCTTCTGCCTCTCAAATGTCTCCACTGCTTCCCACCACGTTGGGCCCCAATTGCACAGCCATATTTCTGTTCCTTGTCATCTTTCCCATCTATCATGCTGGTACCCCTCTACCCAAATGCTCATGTAGACTCAGAGAGAATTTTCTGTATTTCAAAGCAGGTCATGGAACTCTCTGAATTAAATGCCTCCCCTAGTGACTGCTCAGTGGAGACAGAAGCCAAAATTCTGTAGCTTCAAACATGAGGCTCAAGTCTCTGTGACCTTTCTGCCAGTTTCACCTTCATAGGGTCCTGCCCTCACCCACACTGAAATCCTGAACACTGGGCTTGATTGTCTGCTGCACCTGACACCACAGCCTAGGGTTTGGGGCCTTGACACACTTGCTCTTTGCTTGGAGTCTCCCTACTGGTCTCTTTGGAACTGTTCACTCCCTCTCCATTTTCCAAACTCCATCTCCCCTTTCAGAGAGATGAACTGTCTCCTTCATGGGTCTTTTTTTTAACCTAACATTAGCACAGGAAAAGGACACTCCCACACCCCTAATTGAGGTGTTAGAGCACCAATGGTGTGATTTTTATTTATTTCCATGTCTTTCTTACTTGCTAGAGAGTGAGTGCCTGAAGCATGAAGCATGTTATTCAAATTCCTCCTCCCCCACTAGACTTAGTGGAGTGCAGTTGAGTAAACATGTAGCCTGTGATGGAATGAATGAGAGAACGTGCTCTGTATTCACCTAGATGGGGAGGATGTGCTGGAGAAACATTTCTCCATATTCTGAGATCAGCATAAACTAGGGGGTTAGACTATGGTTCATAAGAATGAAATAGAATAGAATCAAGAGGGCACAAAAGAAAATATTGGAGTGTGTCATACATAGTGAAAGTACATACATAATCATTTTGTGATTTCCTTTGCACATGTATGTGTGTGTATGAGTGTTTGTGTGTGTGTGTTTCTGAGTCTGTGTGCAAAAATGCTGGATTGTAGTGTAAAAGGCATGTCTTAGTTTGGGACATGTCAAAAGAATTTGGAATTCAATGCAGTAAATGCAAGAAGAGTTTAAAAGCCCAGTTCCTGTTAATGAGGGAAAGCAGTAAGTGTGAAGAGCCCAGCAGAGAGCCAGGTGCAGAAAGAAGAGTCAGCCAGCATGGGTGCTGAAGTCACCTCAGACTCAAGGGACCACACACTGTCCAGACCGTTACTGCTTCACTGACCTCTGATCTAATTGTCATGCACCTCTTCCATGGTTATTACATCACCCTTGTGTTTATATGACCCAGCAGTGGATGAGGCTAGCACAACTCTCATTATCTTTGTGGCATCTTTTCTTTGCTGTTCTTGGCTTTGAGTTTTGGTGTTTTTTCTGACACATCCAACTGGTACACTCTAGTCTTGATTCTGTATCTTGCCAACATGCAAGTCTCCCATGAACGAATTTTATATATCCTGCTTATGCAACAGTTATTGCTCTCTTCACATATTTCTCCCTGAGAATATGATGTCATAGAACACTTACTCTTCATGGTATGGGGCCTCCTTTCTATAATGTGAGATCAAATGAGCAGGGTGTTCATGGATTTTGTTCACTCATGTGGTATTGTAAATATGTGTTCTTACATAGAAAAAATGTTCAAGTATGGAATTTTCATAATATAAAAAATAGAAGGATTCTAATAATGGTACTAATAAAATGGAATGAAATTGTACCAATAATTCCAAAAGACAAAGCTATAAAATATAATAATTTAATCATATCAACTGAATATTAATTGAAAGGAAAAGAATTTCTTTGCCAAGGTTAAAGAAGATGGAGAATTTTTACTTTAAAAAGTAAGGAAAGGAGACACAATATGACAGAATGACCACACAAAATAAATAAATTTTCACACATTTCTCTAAATCATCTAAACATATATAGAGGAATTCTATGCCAAGTAGCAATATATTAAGGAAAACAATACTCTAATATATGAAACTATTATATATTCATTAGATTACCTAGCAAGCAGATTTGGTAATCTCTCAGCTCTGAGCTAGCCTGGTTAGTCTCTCAGGTTACCACCGGTAGAAATTCTAGTATCCATTCTCTTTGGATCTTCTCCACACCATCTGCTGCACTCTGAGACTCATGTGGGCAGGGTCTCTGAAAGGAAGGGCTCCTTGTAGAAGTACGAATCCTGCCCTGGATGGCTAATGTTGGAGACTGAAGCTCTGTCCTCAGACAAAAGAGCAGGAAGGAGTCAAACATTGGTCTCTGGACCAGAGTTAGGTCTCCTGAAGAAACAAGTGTGTTCTGCCCATCCTAAGGTGCCCATGTTGAGAGTCTGCCACAGAGGAGATATTTACTTTTCCCTTCATCTGTTCATTAGATACTGTCCCCCTGTTACTCTCTCCTCTGAGCATCTCATTCCCCTTTGGGACACTTGTCAGGACTGAATGGAAAATTTGCCCACTTGTTCTCTGTTTCTAAGGGATTAGATTTGAAGTGAAGGGAATCCTGTCACCTCCTAGCACCTTACCCAACTTTGAGTTAAAGTTTCTCCAAAGTCTAAGACTGAGAACATTGCCCTGAGTAGGACCTTTGGGACTTCAACTCACTGACTTGTGGTGGGGCACAGCCTGTGATACCTCCAGATATTGCTATTTCTCTCCAACAAGGGAGACAACTGTGACCTTGATGTAAATGTTCAGGGACTGCACTACTTATCTTCATTTGCCAAATCAATGGGAAATTTCATACTTATATCAGAAGGGCTGCCATTTAGTCCCTCACTATAAAAACTTTCTTAATTATGGGACATATTTAAATAATTTTATTCTACATAATCTGACTTTAGTACCTATCATTAGCATTGCTTAATT